GCTCACAATCAATACAAAAATGTATGTATGTGTATTTGCAGGTTAAGGGGAGATAAATGTAATGTCAATTTGACTTGCTTTTAGGGGATAGTTCATATTGTATGAACGGGGGTTGTAGGAGCTACAGTTTGGAGACACAGAGAGGGGAACCAGCAGACAGCTAAGCAATGAAAATTTTCAAAGCTCTACCTTGCTGTCATACAGCTATACAGTCTGTTTCTGATAGGGACTGAAGCAGCAGGGTACATTTGTGACAATATTATAAATATAGCGTACACATAAACTGAATTTTTAGGTGGCTAAAATACATTTCGCTGCTGCACCCATCCACAGCTTTACATACGTACCCGTACTCCTGCCTGTTCCTCCAAAGACATGTAAGCAATACACTGACTATGGATAAGTATCCATAAGAATCCAAACTAGCCCTTTACGAGCTTACAGTAACAAAAAACATTGTGCAACATAAACGTCTCAAATTAGACAGAAAAGAGAGAAAGAAGTGGCAGAAAGAACAGAAAAAAGTAGAGTGAACGTTTTTACTTACCACACACAACAATGGTGGGAGTCAACTGAACTTGGTCCATCTGTACTTCCTCTGCCAGGCATGTGTCCTCCACATAACAGAACATCGTGTCTTCCTTCTCATCAAAGTAGGACAGTAGAAGCAGCACCATGTCTTTGACGTCTTCAGAACAACCACTTAGCTCTCCTCTCATCACTTTAAACTTGGTTACAGCATGTAGCAACCTTTTGCTCTTGTACACAGCAACAGTATTCATGTAGTTCAGGAGTCGCTTCCCCTTCAGATCCAAATTCCGTGTGAAAGTTTCTTGAAGTGGACTGCCATGCCAAGGTCGTCGAACCAAAACGGCCACTCTTGCAGGAGGGATTTTATATTTTTCCCCTGGTTGACTTGTTTACGCTGCGTGTAGAACGTTGACTTCATTAGAAGTTTGACCTCCTCTGGATTTGCATCAGTTTGCTTAGACATCACCCTCAGTTTTTCCTTTTTCTCCTGCTGGCTCTCTTCGGTCTCTCCAAGGGGCAGGAATTTTAAATCCCATTTAATGCACCCATAAGTGTCCTGGATTGCTGCTCTCTGTTCTGAAGGGACTTCACCTGTATCTGACTCGTCTGTGCGATTCTTTCGTTTTCTTATTTTTGGGGTCGTGGATCGCTTCACATTCTCTATCCTATTTTGCAATTGCTTGACCAGAGAGTGATACTCTGGCCCGATCACGTCTCCCTCTATTATGTCTTGAAGAGACGTAGGATACTTTGCCACTATCTTTTTTGCAACTTCAATAGTGTGTCTTTTACTTAAGCAAGTACTTTTTCGCTTCATGTCACACACCAGAATACGTACCATCTCTCTTCTCATTTGTGGACTAGGTCGTTTTCCTCTCTCCAGTGTCTGCATCAGTTCCTCTGGGAACTTATCCCACGGTATCACAAAGCTATCCATCCAGTCTATATCAGGGCTTTTGCAGCTGTTGGAAAAGGTTGAGGATGAACTTCTGGGTGAATAGGATGGCAAGGATGCAGAAGGTCCTGGGCCTGAGACACAAACAGATGAGCTGCTGTATTCAGGAGTCTGGCCTGCAAAACACACACATACAAACAAAAAGAGTTATGAGGAACACCGTTTTAATGTTTCTATATTTCTGATTGATCTTTTACGCAGGCCACTTTGGGCACTGGTTGCATCCTGTACTACAATAGTCACAAGTATACATACATCTCAGCTTCCAAGCAGCAAGGACTTTTCTGGCTTGAATTGGCCTCAAAGCTGACAGCAAATCTGCTTCCTTAACAAACTGGAAATCCTCATCGGTCTCCACCCCAAGGGATTGTAAAGTCTCTTCCAGAATATCCTTTGTCATCTCTGGAAGGTCATGCAAGACCTCAGTGATGGCACTGCGTATAAATGTTTGCTCCATGTCTGTCATCTCTGGAATCATGGAAGAACGACACTTTTCGGTTTTCAAAATTACAAATGAAAGACAAAGATAATTAGACATTTAGTCAAGTAATACTATTCATACATTATACAGATAAGAGGAACCTCTAATTTGAGTATAGGGTGTGATTGAGGATGTATACTTTTTATTTCTGTATATTGCAGAACAAAAACTGCTGTCACTTTAATATTTTTCAAATAGTATTTTATCATTTTCCCTAAGCATGGGCATTGTTAGAATGGTTTCAACACCACAGTAGCCAATATCGTGTTTATGTTTGACAACATACTGTTTCAGCGGGATGACTTGGTGCCCGTTAACAATGTATGATGGTAATGGATAAAAATCTACCAAGTCGTTAATGTTAACACATTGCAACCTTGCGTTTTGTCACAGAGTACAGGTGGTATTCAGAATGATAGTCAGCTTTATGTATATCCATCAAAAAATACACAGCTGAATCATTTTTAATTAAAATAATGAGCAGTTCTCCGAACTCCATGGACTCGTCATTTTTGGACACAAGGAAAAGCCCTTTTTTATATGATGTACCTTTATACTGTATGTCTGTGGAAACACTAGTATTGTTTTCTGAAAAGCCAAACTCTCTCACTGCATGTTTGATTGAATCACTGTAAAGACTGGAGTAAAAAGTACAACTGTCTTTGACTTGCAGAAGTTGACTGCATCCTGGCCCAGCTGAAAGATATGCCTAAAACATCTGATGTCTTTCGGATAAAGTTAGGCAGATGTTTTTAAAGTTTTTCAAATGCCTGGCACATCTCTTGAAGTAGCTGTGTTACTTTCAAAATGCATTGTCCATACTCTAATCAAGGGGCCAAATTTCAAGATGAGTGCCGGATAGTGTCTCATGAAATGGTGCTTTGGTTTTAGTGGACTCTCAGGAAAGAAACACTTCCTTGTTTCCAAATATTCTTGGATTGTAATGTGAAGATAGGCTACCTGTTAGGGCTGCACGGTATTGAAAAAAACTGACATCGCGGTTTCCCCCCCCCCTGCGGTATATATTGCGGTTTTTTTAACCTGTTAAACCCCAAAGTCCAGGTGGGTACTTTACTTTTTTTTTTCACGACAGTGTCTCAGGGGATCGTAATATTTAAGAACCTATTAATGTGTTATACCAGATTAACGGAAATAATCTCAGCTAACTGACTATACAAACCATTTTATACCAAAACAAAACACAAGTCTCATAAGAAGCATCTAAATGACCCCCGAGCAAAAAATGCTAACGCACTTTGGCACAGAACTCAAGATAAAAGTACCCTTATTATTACTTATCGTAGCTGCACTTACAAGATATCCGATTAAAGCTGAGGTTCCACAGGTTATTTAGGTATATAGTATCATCACTGAGTGATCTGAACTCGGACAGGGGAAGCAAACATAGACATCACAACACGTACCTATACGTAGCTTCGAGGGGAGATGTCTCACCGTAGCTGTCAATCTGATCAAAAGACGTGTTCAATGGCATTAAAACGAGAAAGAAAAAACGCGGCTGAATCGGTTAATCCATAGGTTTTTAACGTCTCTGTATAAAAAAATTATTTAATTTATAATCCATAATTCCATTTTTATGTAAATATCGCAGAGCAAAAGTTAGCTGCTAATGGTAGCTACCAGAGTGGCTGCTGCTTCCGGTCTTGGCGATGCGGAAGTCTCTCACACACACATTACCAAATAAGGACTGTGTGATTTCCCCTCGATTCCATTGGCTCTGACGGTCAGAAAGAGATGTCACATGTCAAAATCCAGCAAGGTGGGCCAGAGATATGGAAAATCCACCCGAATGGCCCCAAAAGAGGGTTTTTTGTGTGCTAAATCTGTCTAAAAAGGTCAAATATCAGGGGAAGTTCTACACACACCAACACATGAACAAATAAGGAGTGAGAGTGACGACGCGTAGCCAAATCCGGAAGCTGCATACCACCAAGGTGGCTACCATTAGCAGCTAACTTTTGTGATCCGATTTTTACATACAAATGGAATTATGGATTATAAACAATTGCTTCAAAGCCACAGATACATTATCAACCTATGGATCAACCGATTCAGCCGCGTTTTTTCTTTCTCGTTTTAATGCCATTGAACACGTCTTTTGATCAGATTGACAGCTACGGTGAGACGATCTCCCGTAAAAGGTACGTGTTGTGATGTCTGTGTTTGCTTCCCCTGTTGCGAGATCGGATCGCGTAGATACTATACTTAAATAATCTGTGGAGTCTGAGCTTTAATCGGATATATTGTATGTGCAGTTTCGATAAGTAATAAGGGTATCTTTATTTTGAATTCTGTGCTAAAGTGCGTTAGCATTTAAAAAAAATTATGAATAAAACCGCACGTCCCTGCGGTGTGAATACCGCGCATGCGCATACCGCGGTTATCGCCATGACACGGTATATCGTTCAGCCCTACTACCTGTGACAACGAAATATTTTGTGCACAAATCAGATCAACAATATCTTTAAGCTGGAGAGTCAACTGCCACACATCATCTTCTGGATTTTGCACTTTGTCACCAATTAATATAGGCAGCAATCTTAACAAATTCCAGTTCTGAATGGCTTGACCTGAGAGCTTGAATACGTCAGAGTTGACAGCACAGGGCTTAGTGAGAGCATTAGATCCTTTGTACTTGAACTGTTTTATGCGCCGGTTCAAAAGTGAATATGTAAACCATTTATTTTTCTTAATAAAATACTTTAAGTGCAGTGCAACATCGTAGGATAAGACACCCTCAAATATGTCATGGCCTAAACAAGGTGGGAGACCTGGCTTGCAAACATGAAAAGATGTCAGAGCATTGAAGACAGAGTTTGCCTTTATGCCTTTGATGTGTTGACTGTCTTCAAAATGTGGTAACCGTGACTGAGGTTGCCACATGTAAAGCTAGTACTTGACAACGCCACCTCCTGCTAAGGGGCAGGAGGAACCCGTGGACCCTAAATGTAAGTCGTGGATCGCTTTTTTTAAAGCTTCCCTTAATCGGTCCAATTATGACAGAGGCATGAATTCCAAAAACATAACACAGCTTTATTTAATAAGTGTTTGGAAACAGTTTAAAATGTCGATTCATGTCCAGTATAAAAATGGCAAATACAATTCAATACATATATAAGTTACCCTCCTCAGTTGGGCAGGCCCGGTCCGCTGGGTTGCAGTGCCTGCTAATCGTGAGGGACAAAAACAAGAAAAGCCACACACCAAAACAACATAAGCATGCAATATTTAAACCACAATCTCTATAAAATAATAACAGTGAGATATTTAGCATACAGAAAATAAAGTGTCACACCGTGCAGTCCCTACACTGAAGGCAGGCAGCGTTCCACCCGGGCCCAGGCCTACGCTGCAGAGGAGCGCAACCTACGACACAAATATTAAAATGATTATACTGCCATACACTGCACATGAAGAAAATGGGTAAGAAAATACACAAGAAACACTATAGGACAGTGGCTGGCCTGGTCTTCCACAGAGTAGGTTTCCAACTCGGCTTAATCCTGCCGGGGAAATGGTCACTTAATATCTCGGGTAGCTGGGCCGGTTGTGTACATTAAGCTCCGGTCTTGTGCCTGTCGGGAGAGTTTTCCTCCGTCAATGGTAAACTCTCGTCTTGCATTCGCCCTTTGTGAGAGGGAGAAGACCAGTGACAAACAGCAGAATCGTAACCTTCGGGTGTGCGCTGTGGTCCACATACATTTGGATCATCACTCTTAAACTCACTTTGTGTGATTTCACAGTACCTGCAAAAGTACTTGGAACGACTACAGTTTTCAGTGAACCCAAGTTATCACCCGCAATGCAGTACAGAGCCCCTTTGACCATGTCTCCACCTGTTGTAACTATTCCATTTTCCTCCAAATCTTTTAAATCCACTAACATCTCTGAGAACACCTTAGCAAATCCAAATTGTTTTAGGTAATTCTCCCCACACATTAAAACCAGGGACATGTGATCAGTATTAGAGCGCACATGAGCAGGTAGATTTGCCACAGAAAGATAGACTGCAACAACTTTGTGTTTTTTCCTAGCAGAGCCAAGGGGGTTGACAATTTCAAAAGCATCCTGGTACAGAATTAGCTTCAGGTATCCTGGATTTTCAATGAAGAACTGGTTGGACTTAAAGTTGTGGCCATCACTTATGTCACCAAAAACATCTGAGTCTGTTTCACATGACTGCTGTGACATTGAATTCTTCCAAAATTCTGATTCTAATAAGCCACTTACTGTTTGTTTCACAGGTATGTAGTAAGCAAACCTTTGTGTCATATTTTCATCATTTCCTAATGTTACTTTTTTAGGCTCTATGTATTTGAACATCTTTTTGAATGTCTGAGCTCTTGAATATGTTGTTCTCAGTGGTCCCTGGTGACAGACTGAGAACAGATCGGAATCCTTCACACAATCACAGATTTTAGCAATAGCATCATCAGTTAGAGACATGTCATCTTTTAAAAGTGAACGTAGTTTACTTAAAATGTAATCCTGTCCCAACTCATGCACATTTTGCATCTCTTCGACAATGGTCTGTATTGTTGAAGCTGGAAGGAGCTGCCCTTGCAATTTTAAGTAGAATAAGCATACATTCCTAAGATAGGTCTCATTGAAATGCTGTGGAAAATCAGTGCTTTCATTTGTTGTTGCATCATTTGGGCTCTGGGAAGCATCTTCATGTGCAGAACACGGAGAAATGGCTTCCCTGTACATGTCACTTATGCTATCAACTAGGGGTGTAACGGTTCACAAACATTTCGGTTCGGTACGTACCTCGGTTTTTTGGTCACGGTTCGGTTCGGTACGTTTTCGGTACAGCAGAATTTTTTTTCACAAAACAAAACATATATATATATATTTGTATTATTATTATTAAACTGTGAATAATGTATTCACTCAAATAAATACAAAATATAATAAAATAAACATTAAGGTGCAGCATTTCGATGAACTGAAATAATCTGTATTTGAACTTTACTGTACTAGTACTCACAAAATATAAACTATTAGTTTTGGGTTTTTAATTATTATTAAACTGTGAATATTCACTCAAATAAATACTAAATATAATAAAATGAACATTAAGGTGCAGCATTTCGATAAACTGAAATAATCTGTATTTGAACTGTAGCCTACTGTACTAGCACCTAAGCAGCCAGTTTGACATTAGGACTTGCTTGTCATTGTATTTTCATGTTTTTTTAAATAAAAATTAACTTGTCCACATTGCTTGCCGAAAGGGCAGATCTGCTGGCACTAACAATGTCTCCTGATGTGGAGAAAACCCTCTCGCTAGGGACAGAGGTAGCCGATACAGCCAGGCATAGGCGGCGCGTGAGACTCAGGTTTGGGAAGGCTAAATCACTTTTTTTTTACCTGACGCTGCCCGCCTCCGGCGTCGATAGAAAAGAGATCAACTCAGTGAAAGCACCGCCTGCTGACCGATCAGAGCTCAGTGTGCGGAGTTTAAATCTATCAAGTCATATTACAGGAGAAAGGAAATGCAGTTTAAACTGCCGTATGCAGAGAAGACGCCGACGTGTCGCACTTTATCATTCATATCACACTGATATCACATCATCAATCAGATCATCTATCTCACATCGATATCACAATATCTCCTTATCTGAGTCAGCTGAGCCGTATCTGGCCGTGCAACACTTAGTTACAGTGTCACAGACTGTATGCAGATGTATTATTTTAAGCAACACATTAAGTTGACGAAACACTCAACTCAAATGTAATTAAAGTCAGATCCCCTCGTGTTTTAGATGGGGCAGTATCATAAAACTGTTGTACGCTTTCAAACACTCTGTAGTTTATTTATTTTTTAACGAGTTGTTCTGTATTCTCCTTGCAGCAACTCTGTGGCTTGTATCCTGGATTATATGTTTAAGTCATGGATGTCTAAAGTTCATATTTGTCTAATATTAGTTTACTTTTCATTAATGAAGTATGACGCTGCGCTGTCAGTACACTTGTCCCTGTTTGTGATTGGTCAAATGTTGCTAACCCCGCCCCTTTAACGTGAACGCGCTCTCAGCTGGAGAGAGAATCCCTGGCTTGATTTACCGAGTTGATAACCAGCGTTGTAGGACCGCTTAGCGAGATCTCGTTTGTTAGGGTTAGTTAAGATTACTCAAACATATCCAGGGTCTGTTGAACTGGCTTCGTAGCACAGGGCACAGGTGGCTAGCAGCGCTAATGTCAAAGACACAAACATTATACATTATATTTTTATTTTACCAGGATGCAGTGACACAAATATTTGGGAAAGCTTAGCCTTCCCAAGCCTACAGCACCCGCCGCCCCTGCAGCCAGGTAGCGCTTTGCTAACATGGCAACATAAGGATATTTGGTGTTTGTAATAGCTTTGGCTCGGTCTGAACTTTCTGCGAGTGGTGGAGGCTTAAATGCTAGCGGGAGTTGGGTTTGCACTTCAGTCTTTTTTCTTTTGGTACCGGTGATATTCACGTTCGGGTGATGCCTTTTCAAGAGTGTGCAAGTTTGATGTATTGCCAGCCGCGTAACCAATTTTAGTTGAACAATGCCGACAAACAGCTTTGGTTCGGTCAACCTGTCTTTGTCCTTCATCCTTGTACGTAACTGCGAAACCAAAATGTTCCCAAACCGGAGACTTCAATGATGCTGGAGGATTTTCGAGCTCAACTTTATCTGCGTTCGCCATTAATTTTTGACAGTTCCTCAAATTACTGACTACATTTGAACGCATCCCTCTGACCAGCTCTCATAGTATGCCTCTCATCCAATGAAATGACTTGCTCGCTCTATGACGCGTTGAACCCAATGTGATCAAATTACTCTGAATGCTGCGACGCAGCACCTGAGATTACTTCCAAAAAGTTATTCACGTTCTCAATTTTTTTACGTTTAACGTTATATTCGTTCGGTACACTTCGGTACACACCTGTACCGAACCGAAGGGCCCGTACCGAATAATTTCGGTACGGGTACGTGTACCGTTACACCCCTACTATCAACAGAACATGCTCTGTGTTTTCTGGACATAAATGACGATTTCACAGTGAAATTATTTGTACAACCAGTTACTGGACATAACACAGGTCGTCCCTCCACTATATGATCTTTTAAGTGGGATATAAGTTCTTTCACTGTTTGAAATTGGCGCGCACATAACGAAATTGCACATTTCAAATCTGTAACAATGGCTCTAGCAGTGGCTGCAGGCACATTGTGAATCCGATAAAAGTGAGCTTTAAAAGCTGTGTAAGTACAAAATGTTCGCTTGCAGTTCGTGCCAACACATTTGAAAAAACAGTGGGGTTCGTTCCTATGCACTCTACAATGCAGCACATAACCATTCAAAGTCTGTAGCATTTTGCTGCAAAAACGGCAGGTAATCATTTTTAGCACGTTAACACGACTGCCCGTTAAGTTTGAACCCACTCAGATGTAGCTTCAAAACCCCCGCTTCACAACAGCATGAATTAAACGAAAATAAAGAGTTCAGCTTTTAGCATGATACTTCAATAACGTTACCAGACTATTTAAATTAACTCCCGGTGAGTAGACGTTATAACTATGACTGCAAAATGCAATAAATCACAAACAGAAGCTAGTATTGTCCTGACAACACACCGTTGTTTGCTTGCAGTTCGCGCCAAAACATTTGAAAAACACTGGGGTTCCTATGCAATGCAGAACATAACCCCTCGTCTGTAGCGTTTTGCTGCCAAATGCACTCAATCAAAAACAGAAGTTAGTATTGTCCTGACAACACACAGTGTTATAATTGAAGTTTGAAGAAAATAAACGGTTAGCTTACCAGTGCTACATAGGTGATCCTCCGCTCATGTGCACACAGCTCCGTGGTCCGTGGCAGGCAGACTTGAGACAGACTTGGCCGCGCACTGAGCCGTAACCGTTAACCTGCAAAAACAGCAGGTAATCATTTTTAGCACGTTAACACGACTGCCCGTTAAATTTGAACCCGCTCAGATGTAGCTTCAAACCCCCCGCTTCACAACAGCATTAATTAAACGAAAATAAAGAGTTCAGCTTTTAGCATGATACTTCAATAACGTTACCAGACTATTTAAATTAACTCCCGGTCAGTAGACGTTATAACTATCATATGACTGCAAAATGCAATAAATCACAAACAGAAGTTAGTATTGTCCTGACAACACACCGTGTTATAATTTAAGTTTGAAGAAAATAAACGGTTAGCTTACCAGTGCTACAGATGTGATCCTCCGCTCATGTGCACACAGCTCCGTGGTCCGTGGCAGGCAGACTTGAGATAGACTTGGCCGCGCACCGAGCCGTTAACCTGCAAATAGTGGCTGCTCCCGCGATAATTAAATAGTCC